AGCCTCTGAGAGGAGAGCGGCTAGTGGGCTGCCTGCCACTTGGGGAGGGGCTCAGTGTGAGGTGTTAAGGCACTAACAAGAGTGGGGAGTGGGAAGAGATGGAGCAGCAAAGCCCATCTAGCAAGGTCTTTTCTGTTTTTAAGGGAAAGAAAACTCAATGTGTGTTCCCTTAGGAGTGAAAAAGGGATTAAGGAGTTGTGGGAAGGTGGGGGACAGGCAGGCAAGTGCTGAAAAATGACATTGCACCTAACTGCAGCGTCTGTGTAGCTGGGCGAGGATATCCCTGGAGCAGATGGAAAAACTGAGCAGGCAGCCCCCACCTCTGAGAACTTCTGGAGGCCGGGGCCCAGGCCTGTGGGTGCAAAGGTGCCTCATAGCGTAGCCAGCATTCAGCACACGCAGACCCACTGCCCATACACGGGCACAGGGTTGGCCATTTGCTAGTTCTGCTGCCCTCTTAAGATCTGACTGCCAAATAAATCATCCTCATGTCCTTTTTTCCTTTAACTTGTATACTGTGGGGGTACTTACGGAAGCCTGTTGCCTGGGTCCTTGTTAACCAAGGAGCATTGCCTGGTGATTATTCCACAATAGAAGCAGGTGGGATGTTTCTGTAAACTCAGGTAAAACAGCCTTTCCCTCTTCTGGACTAACAGGTTTAAGGCCTCCCTCATCCTAGCCCATCCTCCGAGGGTGTGGCTGGATAGTACATCCTGCCTGGGAGCCAGCCTGGGTTCTTGTGGCCAGCCAACCAGCATAGGTGGTGAGCAGGAAGCAACCAGGATTTCCTTTCCAATTCTACAGAAACCTGTCCTCTCAAAAAAAGAGCATTCAGATGTGTGTTGCTGGGTGCCACTTAGGTCATCTCAGTAACTTGCAACCAAAATCTCTGTACCCAGAATATGGTTGAAAAGGCCCTTCTTTTCCCAAGGCTGTTTTGCAGTGGTCTGTGCTGGAGGAGAAATGATGGACTACAGTTTCCACCCACTGAATAGACATGATGGCCCAGCAATGTGGTCAGTTCTTGCTGGCCTGTGGCTTTCTTCCCAGAACCTATGAGGGTGGTCCTTTCCCACACACAGGGTGGTGGGTGGGAATTTACTTGGGCTCTCACAATCCATGTGGCCTGGAGAGTTTTCCTAGTTGGGGTAGGATAATGTATAATGCCCTTGGCTTTTGGTGTTGACCATTTTAACTTCCATCAAAATGAGGGGACTTCAGAAAGTTCATGGAAACAGGGAATTAAAGTACAATTTGAAATCTATGCATAGTTTTTCCATAACGCATTTTCCATGAACTTTCAAATTTTGCCAGACACAGGAAGAGGGAGGAAACAATCCCTCATCTCCCCAGATCAGGTGTGGGCTCATGCCTGTCCCAAGTATGTTTTCTCAAGCCGTCAGGGTTTGAGTCATGGTCCCCCCGTGTGGGATCCAGCGCTCTCACCACTAGGTCATGGGGCCAGCATACCATGAGCTTCGTGAAGACTCCTCATACATACCTCCATTTGCTGAACAAGCATCCTCTAGGAATGTGTCCTGGGGGGAGCCAGAGCTCTGCTCTTCATTCACAGACCCATGGCTGGTTGCCTCAGGCTTTTTTTTTGCCTTCTCACTGCACATTTGTTCATCCTTCTTCCCAGTGGAAAACAGGTCTACCCTGAGTCAAGCAGGACTTATTTTTCTTCCATGATAGAGACAGCAAGATAGCACTCCTTACAGGGTTATGGCTCATAATCTTATCCACCCCCAGCTTCAGCCAGCCCCAAATCATGGCATAAGTACCTGGCATGTACAAGGAAGTCTCAGGATATGTCTCAGAATGTGAACCAAAGGCCTTCTGCAGGAATCTGCTGGGTTGCCGTCTGACCCTAAATCAAGCAAGTTCAAAGGTCAACTTCATCCCAGATCCCTCCACAGATTTAGGACTACTGACAGATCCAGGAGGCCTGCTGTCCTCACTTGGGGCTGAGTATCTCGGCTTGCGGTGTGGGCAGCACTGCCTTCCACCCTCTGGGTTATGACCCACAGAGTCCGCCTTGGCAGAAAATTAGCACCACCTGGGGTACTTCTGGAAACCCCAGAACCTGGGGGTCCTGGCATGGGAGTTATTCAAAAACTCTTAAGGTATTTGAAGCATGGTTTCCGGCAGGGGAAAGCAATGGTGTAGGGGCACAGGCAAAGCGAAATGAACTGCCTCCCTTGCAGGCTCCTTATAACCTACTGCCCAGTGGGACCTGCTCTGGGCTGGCTGGCCAGAACGGGTAGGCTGTGTTCCCAGCAGCAGGCCTGAGCTTGCACCAGCTTTCCCCCGTGGACACATGCACACACACGCCATATCCAAGGTTGGGCGTTCTAAAAGGCTGCCTCGTGGGAAGAAGGCAGGAACAGTTCTTGACGTCAGCTAAAACTGCTTTTTTCTTTTTTTGGAAAGGTTTTTCCTATAGGGCACATGTACTTGCCAGAAAGAAAGAAATCACCCCCTGGGGGGATGACCACACCGCAATCCCTTCTCCATTTTCGCAGGATCTTGGGCGGGCACACACGCACATGCACCTGGCATGAGTTTAAGCCACTGGGTCCAGGACTTGAACCGTGGTTGACTGCATGGAAGTCCAGTGACATAGCCACTACACCAACTGCTGGTCCCAGAAAACTGCCTTTGTAACAAGTGCCTGGCTATGAGAGGAAAGGGCTGGGCCTTCCTCCTGACCAGACATAGCCTGAATGTTACTTGAGGGCTGGGCCTGTGGCAGACACCTTTGAACTTGAACTCATCTCTCACCAAATCAGTTATGCTAAGGGGGGAAAAAAGAACATGTCAGATTATCATGCTAAACTAGGTCACACCTTCACATTTTATTTAAGTCGATTAAGCCTAGTCTTAACCTGACAGTCCTCTCTTCCCTGGGTCCTATTCTTATATTCCACAGGAGACACACCCAGGAGTCAATCTGGGCATTCTGTTCCCTGCCTGCAGGCCTCTACAACTGCCCAGGAGAGCCCACAGTGCCCCCTGCAGGTCACTGCTGCCAACTCTGGGGTTCAGCTGACCAGCTTTAGGGTTTCACACCAGTGTGGTTCAGCTCCCAAGGACCTGTATTTCTCTAGATCCAGCACAAAAGCTGCTTCCCCAGAAGTAGCCTCCAGAAGGACAGTCCAGAACAGATTCCCAGAATTCTGATTCCTGCCAGAATTATTGTACTGTCTTGGTGTGTCTGTCCCTGGTGATTTTGTTTCAAGGTTTCTTGCCACAGGCCTTTATGACCACCCCAACAAAATTCAACTGCATTGGATCTTTGAAGTTGGGGTTTGAGTCCTGTTCCTCCAGAAGGCCCCAGGATGCTCAGGCATATTCACCAAGCCTGACAGTCCTCTCTTCCCTGGATCCTATTCTGATATTCCACAGGAGACTCACACCTGGGAGTCAATCTGGGCATTCTGTTCCCTGCCTGGAGGCCTCTACAACTGCCCAGGAGAGCCCACATTGCATCTGTACTTGCCTTGGGGTTCATATTCGCCAAGCCCTCTGTAGTAAAGGACAGGTTCTGCTTACTGGCACTTAAATCCCAGGAAAAAGAAAGGAACAGCTCACCAGGGTCCTCTCACCAGATCTCTGTGACTCCAGCTCTGACTCAGCTTGCAGGTTCTAAAGTGCCACAGCTGTCACCATAGTGAACCCAGCCATGCAGATGGGAGTCAACTTTGTGGCTGAGGGGAGTAACCATCTCCCCTTTGGAGTTCAAAGTTGCTCGGGAACCAGCAGTTGGCGTAATGGCTATGTCACTGGACTCCCATGTAGTCAACCGCGGTTCACGTCCCGGGCCCGATGGCTTAAAACACGCTGGGCACGTGTGCGTGCGTGCCCAAGATCCCAAGAGGAGAATGGAGAAGGGATTGTGGCGTGACCATCCCCCCTGGGGGTTGATTTCTCGCTTTTTGTCTCTCTGTCTCGCTGCCTGATGAGCACATGCACCCTATAGTGAAAACCTCTCCAAAAAAAAAAAAAGTTGCTCTCACCCATAGGACACAGTGAGTATGATGTGCTTTTAGCTTTTTTTCTGAACCCCCCTTACCTTTACCCCTACCACAAATAAGTCAGCATATGTGAAATACATTTATGTTTTTATTTAGGAATAATCAAAAGGTTTGAAGTACCATTGAGGCCCATTTCAAACTGTACAAGCAATTTGTCCCTGTGCCCTCCCTCATCCAAATCCACAGATACAAAATCTAGGAAATGTGCAATTTGCATCTTAGAAATAGCAGCATCCCCACAGGGGACCTTGTGAGGCCTGGAGACTCAGCCCAAAGAGAGCAGCCTTACTCCTGCCTCGGCACAACCCAGGTCCAAGCCACAGGCAAGTGCTATCCTTCAGTTCAGACATTCGCCCACGGTAACGCGCCCATCCCCACTGGCCTGACAGTTTGGTTTCACACTCGGCTACAGCAGGTGGTGGGAGCCTTGCACAGTTTGATTAACATTTCGCTTTGCCTCTGGACAAACAGGGCAAGTTGCCTCTTAGCACCAAGATGATCGATTCTGCAGCCATCTCTGGGAGACAGGAATTGCACCAAAGCAAACTGCTCAACACTCCCTACCCAGTCTCACTTCTCGCAGTCTGGAAAGGGGCTTGAGCTGAAGACCAGCATACAAATGGGTGCTAGAACACCAAGAATCAGAACTTGGTCAGAAAGGAGTCTGCGGGCCTTTGGCAACCTCCCTGATGTCTACAAAGCCATGCTCAGTAAACTCAATGAACAATGGCCGGCAGGGGGGAGAGGAAGGTGGGTGTGTTTTCTGTTTTTAATAAAACAGTTATGGCACAGTCTGACCCTCCTGACACAGCTGAACAAAGCAGCTGCTCAGAAGCACAGTGGGAACTTGCTGCATAGGGTGACCACGTCTCCCCTGGCCCTTGCCCAGGCCTGTGGGGAGTGGCCTGACTATCAGGCTGGATCCCTGCGTAGGAATGAGCCCTGGCTCTCCTCCTCCAGCCAGCACTCTTCACGGGCTCTGGGCTCAAGTCAGACTGCTAGAATGGGACAGAGCTGTACGGCAGGAACCATATCACAGGCAGGAGTGGTAAGATCTCTTTAAACACAAACGCTGGGGTTAGTAGGGACCAATGCTAGAGTCTTATCCTCTCAGCTGTTTCTACTCTGGGGTCTGACGTGGGAAAGACCAAGTGGTTGTAGCTTTCCATATTCATTGATGAGGCAGCCTTTATTTATCTTGACTCCTCACTTTCAACTCCAGTCACTTTAATTTTGAATCATCCATTCATCATGGAAAAGTTAAAAAGCATTAATGAAGAAAAGCTATCCGTATACGCAGACACTTATCTGTACACACACCCTGAGCTAGTCTCCTGAAGGAAGAGGCACTCATGGTGGGTAAAGGCTGGGTTCTCTCAGGGGCCTGGGCTGGTCACCCACCTGATGGAAGCAAGGCAGGTGCCAGGTGGCCAGAGTGCCCACCACACAGTGCTCTGCTCACTGCTCCCTCCTGCCTCCGCTGCCAGGCACTTGTCCAGGCAGCAGCAAGACCAGGGGCTGAGGGCTCCAAAAGCTTTGGAGCATGGGGTGACAAAGCAGTGGCCATATATTCTCAGTTCTGCAAACCAGAAGATAAATCAAGGAGGCAGGTGTTTGCCCAAGTTCTTGTCCATATGGAAACCAGGCTCTGCCTAGTCTCTGAAGACTGGCTTCCCTCCCCTTCTCCAGCTTTGGGGCCATTGGATTGGGTGATTTCTGCTGACTGGGGCTTAAAGAAACCTTTGTCACATCTCTCATCTGGTGAAGAACTGGGCCCCCATCAAAGAGGTCAGCTTTGCAGGCAGGTCACAGCACAGCTGTCTGGGCATGTGAGCTCAGCACCGGAGAACCACAAAGCAGGGTGCAACCCTCCAGGCCCAGATGCTCCGTGTGTCCCATGTCCTCCTTTACATTAAGGAAGGAGAGAACTTGGCCTCACCCTCCTTCACTCTACCCTTCCCAGTGTAGCCTGGCAGTGGGAACACACAACATTCCAGCAGAAATGGGTTCTAACCAAGGCCTACTGATTCCATGGGCCTTAGAGCTGGGCTAGGGAGCAGGCCAACCAGCACCAGGACTGCCACTCCACCTAGTCTCAGCCTATACCAAAGCCAGTCACTTCATAGATGTCTCCCCCCACCTCCTCAGCCCTGGTACTGTATGGCCCAGCCCCATCCGTGACCCATTAAACAAGCCCAAGAGAGCAGTGTGGTGGGTGCCAAGGCTGAAACCCAGCTTGACTCCACAGCCCCCTGCTTGCTCAGATGTTGGAGATTTTCTGGGAACAAATTTCACACACAGATACCTCCTAAGGCCTGGGCAGGATGGCTAGGAGGGGCCCATCTTCTTGGAGAAAGGGAGAGGAACCTGGGTTGAGAAACCCTGTGGGGGGCTCCCTGACTGGAGTGAGGGGAGCCGGTCCTGTGGGCCATCTGCCCTGGGCAGGCAGTGAGCATCAGCTTGAAGTCCCTTGATGTGTCTGGAGGGTTTTCCTACCTCCTATACAACCAAGACTTGAAAATGAATGTGAGATGTGAACACTTCAACTTAACACAGGCAAAGACTCTGCCCAAGGACAGTCAAAATGACAAACCTCAGGTGCACTCTGAACAAGGAAAAAAGGGAAGGATTTTAGTAAAAAGCCCAAAGTCCATCTTTGTTCAGGACTTTTCATCTTGGCGGGTTCTCTCTGCAAAATGGCTTCATCCACTTGGGCTATGATGACTGAACTAACAAGGCTGCCTCCAATCAGGATTTTGGTCCAAGAAGAGATGAGGAAGACAAAGAGGCAACAGATCCCAAGACGGGGGCACAAGTGGGGACTCGAGGAAGAGTATGCACAGAAACAGAAGCTTCCCACAGGACGGGCTGCCACTACCGCGCATGGAAGGTGGCCATAGGACAGATGTCCCAGAGCTGGGGGGGTGGGAGGGGGACAGGACCTGGACCTAACTGAGCAGGGTAAAATATCCACAAAAGTCACCTTCACGGAGCATGCTGAGCCTGCCTGGCGGGACAGCCCCCACGTGTACATGCAGAGGGCACCTCCACCACTGCCCAGCTCCTTCCTTTTGCTTCCAGGGCACAGGGCCTGTGGGTCACAATGCCTAGGTCCACCTGAACCCATCACTCAACCAAGAGGAAGGAGCTCTGAGCCACACACCACCACTACCAAACCCCAGTACCGGCCAGCCATGAGTGAGGGCGCACTTTTTCAGGAACCCATGACTCCAGAAAATGACACTCTCCCCTTTCTGAAATAAAAAAAAAAAAAGCTCCTTTATGGTAAAAAATTAAAACAAGTAATCAAAATATGCAAAGTATACATCTTGCAAATTCAAACCTCCTGTATCAGAATGGTGATCTGGTTTCACCTATTAGAACTGGATCTACAATTCCCTGTAAAGGACAACAAGCCAAACAGGTACAAGACAGCAAGAGGAATCACAGAAAGACGGTTTTTTACCACTTCTGACAAGTCCGAGTGCATACAGAGAAGGGAAAGCTTAGTCACCTTACAGACTTTTTCTTAAGGGAGACTAACCCCATCCGCCTCAACTCTGCAGCCCGCAGGCCACCTACTAAAAGTGACAACCCAGTTTCACCCTCTGGTGGAACCAGAATACAGAACTCTCCCACATCCCACTACCATCGTGGTGTGGTTCTGACCTCTGGCTGGTGTGGACATGCTTGTGCTTCTGGGGTTCTGCACCCTAAGCCCCGGGTCCTGCAACAGTGTCCCTTAAGCATTTGCTTGATGGCTACATCACTGGCATCATCTCTGATCACTTACTCTTGTGAGCATAGGGTCCAAACCTCATTTGCTCACTCCAAGAACCTGGACAGAAAAAGGCCCCTCACCTGGGCAGTCTGGCCATCTGCGGTGCCTGACAGTCAGGGCTGCCATCTGTGAGAATGTGTGCCAGGGCAGGCAGCCCTATCAGCGTTCCACCCAACAGATGAGTGGTTCCTGGGGCTGGTCGGTCTATGTCCTCGAGCTTGTCCACTGCGGGACTGTTTTCTGTTTAGGTTGTAAGTCAAATGTCAGTACAAATAACCAAGCAAAATCCTCTCTACAGATACAACCATTGGCCAGTGTGTGGAGGCTCTTAAGGTGATGCTGGTAGGGGTCAGAGGTGAGGCCCTGGTGGCTTCCCAAACTCTCAAGATGGCTTCGCATGGGCACCCAGCCTACTGGCATCTCTTCCAACATGGGCGACTTTCCCAGTGCCTGTGTGCCACGCAGTTCCTCAAGCCTATGCCAGATGTATGTTTTCTGAGTGAAGAATCAAATGAGTATTTGTCCGCCTATGAGTATATACAAATTGACCTGCACGTACACAGACACTAAGGAGACACTCCAGGTGTCTGTTTGCTGAAGGAAGGCAGTTGCTCACCATTCTTGCCAATTCCTCAAAGGCTTTTGGGACAGATAGTTTCACTCCCAGATACAAAAAAAGTCGGCTGCAAAACTTGCCATGTACAAGTCTCCTATTAGAGACAAGTTAGAGCTGGTCCCTACTGGGACAGGGAGGACAGAAGATGAACAGTGGTTCAAGGTCTTCTGGTTTCCAAAGAACACTTCCTCCTGAAGGCAGAAGGTGCTTCCACCACGTGGGCTCCTGGGAGCCATGGTGCAAGGGAGATGGGGTGGGAGATGTGGCGAGGGACAAACACCACCGGGGCTTCCAGCCCCTGCCCTCCTCTAGGTCTCCTGGTGCTCCCACCCAGCCTAGGACCAGGAGGAGTGTCCCTACAAGGCTTCGGTGCCTGTGGCTTGAGGCTCTGTATGCAGGTGGTTTCCACGAGGCAAGTGGAGCTGGGTGACACGTGGGTAGCCCACTCCTCTCAACCCACTGTTCTCAGAGCAGCCTTGGGAAATAGGGAATCACCTTTTAATACAGTTCTGCTAATAGGTTTCCCAGTATTCCAAAGGCACCTTTTCCTGTGATTTTTCTCAATTCAAAAAGTGTATGAGGGCATGGCTAAAGCAGAGCTCTGCTTCCCCAGGTTGGGGATACATGAATACAGAACTTTGAAGACATCCTCTCAAGGAAGGACCCACCCAGAAATGCCCAGTGGCTCGAAGCATGCGTCTAGCACACAGCCGGGCCTGTGGTTGGGGGAACATTTTCCCACATGCACGTCTCTGTGCTGGAAACTGCCCTGGCTCCAATGATTCCCAAAAGTCCCCGAATCTCTTCAGCCCTCACTGTTACTACTGGGCACTATCTTCTTCCTCCCAAACCACAGGAAGTTCTGAAGTGAATGAGAAAGAAAGGGCTCCAGAAACCACAGTGCTAAGGCTACAGGCTGTGCATGCACCATCTTCCATCTATCACATCCATTTCTTTCTCCCACTTTCCTCTCTAAATGTGTCTAAAAAGAAAAAAGGCAGGTACATAGGTTGGCGCATTGGCTTCTCAACAAAGGAAGCCCCATGATAACTTTGAAAGTTATGGTCCATGATCCAAATTCCTGTGAAAAAGAATTGCGGCAATGAGTACTGAGGGTGGTGAGCACCTACACTAACCATGTGGCCGGTCACTGAACCCAGTCACAGCAGGTTCTGCCCTGGTCAGCCCCTGGGCGAGCCGGGCACCACATGCAGCAGCGAACCCTTCCAAGGTGCTGCTTCCTTGAGGAGTGCCAAGGAGGACACCTAGGCGCCAGATGTCATTCTGATAGTGCCCATCACCCACCAGACTGTGGGGGAGGAGGGGCATCTGTGGCCCCAGCAGTCCCCAGAGAACAGACACGCGGCATTTTCAGAGATGATGTAAAAACGTATTGCTTGGCTAACCAACATGTCTATGTAATGAAGTGTTTATATTCTGATGTTTTATTAAATGTATATAGGCGGGCGTGTATGCTAAAAACTTGATTCTGTGTCTATGAATACGAAATCTGAGCTAGTTTATCCACTGGGAGCAAAGGAAAGGTCCTGCATTGTGGGAGGGAGAACTGAGAACCCAGCCTTGCTGCTCGCTTGGTGGGGTGGGCCAAGGTGGTGGTGGCGGACTCCAGGGTGTCTGTGAGGCCTCTGGAAGCTCTCTTGGGTACCCAGCAGCGGGGCATGGGAACAGCATGTGGTGGCAGCAGAGTCGGGGTTGGCCCTTCCATGTGGCAGGCAGCATCCCGGACTGGCCAGTCCTTCACAGTCATGTGGTCCAATTCAGTCTGTTTCTGAGGAGAAAACACATGCCCATTATTGCACGGCAGCTGCCACTCATATAACCCTGGGGCAGCCTGGTCCTTGCATGCCAGGGCAGTGTCACTGACCTTGGGGACCTCTTGCTTCCATGAGCAATGCCTTCCTGCTAGCCATTCCCCCTTGCTCCAGCCTGGCGAAAGGTGAGGAGGAGTGTGCAGGTTGTGGACAGGATGCTGATTAAACTGGGCAAGGCCTTTGCACTCTCTGGCAACCCCTGCCAACCCCCAGGCCCAGAGGCTGGAGCAGCACCTTGGCCTCTCCTGTCCTAAAATGTCTCATTCTGTCTTCTCCCTCTGCCTCTCTGGAACACTCTGTTCTAATACAACAGTGGCTTGATCTAGTTTCTGACATGTATCCCACTGATGGCTCTACTCACTTCTAACTTGCAATGCTAAAGTCAAAGCCAGTGAAGCTGGTCAGAGCTCCAACATCCATGATGCATAAAGATATTGCCCCAGCCTCAAGGCTGGCTGAGAAAGCAGGTGCAGAGACATACACAAGCCCTTCCTATACTCACACATACCTGATGATGCCACAGGCATGGCCACCCCTGCCATTCCTG